TACCACTGAAAGCCCATTTTTAATATCAGTCGTGTGTATTAAAATGTCCGGAGCTCTCTAATTAAAACCCGTCTCTGACGTTGCATGTCCTTATTGGACGCCCAGTGGTGGTTGGCTGAGGTGTGGTCATGCAGAGACCGGCTCTAAAGCAGGTGCTCGACGGTGTGATGCTGGCTGCCAGCCCTCCAGGGCACCCCCTTGATCAGTTCCAGGGTTTTGGCTTAACTTGAGAAACAAGCATGTAATGTCACATTGTAAATGCTGACATGTTTCACAATAAATTACGGACACTAGAACAAAGAGGACTTGCAGGATGAACTCAACTTCATCTGGGATTTGGCCCTCCGTTTTCTAGGAGAGAAATTTGATTTTGCCCTCACACCACAAGAGGAAAACTCAAATGCATCAAACTTAAGGTGCCTGGTGTAAAAAACCAGACAGTCAAATTATCTGTGTACAATGAGACCTCAGACTGTTATGCAGCTTGGCCGTTGATGGGATAAATGTATTTTTTCTCTGGACTCAGTGTTAAGGGGAAGTTATCACCAAGTTGCTTGTACTGAACTTTGAAATCTGAACAGGAGGCTGTGGTGGGCTGATCCGCAGTGGGCGTAGACCTGCCAGAGGTACCTGAGTCCTTCAGCCAAGGCACCTTGCCTTCCTGTCTGAGCCTAAATGCCAGGTGGGTGTTTTCCGATTTGGTGGGTTCCATGCTCCCTCTTTCTTCTGTTCACAATAGGCCGCAGTTCAGGCCACTGTATAATCCACTGTGTTTCTACTCATTAAATGATCACAATATTCTTTTCCCAACTCCCTGAAGTACCCATATTTTTCCTTTACTAAAGTTAGACCGTAATCAGATTAGTCCATCACACTTTGACAGGAAGCTTGCCGATCATCTTCACTTTGAGTGTGTAGATTATACTCATTGAAATTTTAGAGGGTTGATTAAGCAGTGTTTTTTTATTACGAAGGATGGGCACCCTAACTCAGAATTCATTGATTTATGTAATTTCAAAGTTTTTGAGAGAGAGGCTCCATCTGAGGGTCCCAACGGCGTCACTGCCCAGTCCTTTGGGTCCCTGTACTTCACGTCTGCATCATCTCCAGGTGGTCTCCTGTCAGGTGGTGGCTGCTAACAGTTCCGAGCACACGCCCTCCCAGTTTCAAGTGCAGTCAGAAAAAAAAAAAGTTTTTCTTTTTCTCAATAGTTCAGTAAAACTGCTACAGTGAAATCTCATTGGCCTGGCTGGGGTGATGTGCCCATTGCCGTGCCCACCATGGTGTCCAGGGGGTGGAATGCACGGGTTGTCTAGACCTGGGCTACCTGACCACTCTGGAGGTCTGGTTGTTGTGCATGAACTGAGAGTGAGTGTAAGATAGTGATGCTGTTACCAGAAGGTGGATGAGTTCCAGGCAGGCAAAACCAGCAGGTATCCACTGAAGAAGTAACTTGATTTTTCTAGCTCTGAGTTCTAGGGGCATTGTTTTCCTTTGTGCCATGTATGTAAAAAAAAAATAGGTAGTATGGACAACACAACACATGGCCTCTGCCATGTGGGACCTGAGTCTAGGAGGGAGAATAGGTATGTGTAGAAATGACCACAAAGAATAAACAAACAAGATGAGTATCATATAGATAGCAGAGAGAATAAATAGGAATTCTATAAGTGTGGAAGGAAGAGGAATTACTGTGGTTTGAGAAGATCAAGGAATCTTCCTTTGAGCCTTGAGGATCTAGGAATAGCTTTGACAGGTGCAGACAGAGGGGCTGGTGCTCTAGGGGGAGGGAACTGCACACTGGAAAGGGATGGAAGCTACATCTTTCCGTGTCTACCAGAATGACTTCTGACTGCGTGTGAGAGGTGCAGGAAAGATTCGTGCAGAGGTTTGAACAGAGGTTCGGGCAGCTTATGTAGGAGCAGTGCCCTCTGCAGAGGATAAAGGGGCAAGTCTCAGGAGGTGGTGGCGTTCCATAGCTTCTGTTTTAGTATTTCTGGAAGGATGGTCTGGGTTGCTTTTTCTGTCCCAAACCTGACAGAATCAGAAGATCTGAGGGAGTAGGTCCTTATGCTTTTCGCCTGGAGCTGAGCTCAACTAGATTTCACAACATCCTCCAAGCCCACATTCAGCCCTGCCTGCTATTCTTATGACAGGAACACTGGTATTCACATTGCTTAAAAAGCCCCATAGCCCTTCTAGAGCAAGATTCCTTGGCCCCACCCTGCCTTACCTTACAGCTTCAGCTGGAACCAGAGCCCAGGTATCATAGCCCCCCAGGCTGAGAAAAGCAGAGCTGAGCTCGGATCCAGTAAGGAGGCAGAGAACAGACCTCTCTTGACCTTAAGGTAGAAAGCAAGAGGCTTATCAGATCTGCAGGCTTGGCCAAGTGGTTCTTCCTGTTACTGCTCTTGATGGGTACACGGGTACAGCTCAAGAAGAGAGGGTTTCAGATTTTGTTTGGAAAAACCCAGACTGCATGACGTCTGTCAGCACTTAATCTCCAAGGGCAGTGAGTACTAACAGGCACAGGCTGCAATTCAGTGGCTTCCAGCCCTTTGTAGTGGCGGATGGGTTTACACTGCAGGTAAATAAATGCTTTCATTTAGCACACATTGCCGGTAGCTTCCATTTTCTGCCTGCCACTGGGCTCTGCACCGAAGGGCTGAACACTGTTATTCTAAAAGAAAGGCCGTTTCCTCTGAGGAAGAAGGTCAGAGCAAGCTCATGAGGTCACGGCCCTCCACTATGGCTTTTCTGAGGTCACGGTCCTTTGTACATCTTAGGAACTGTGTCAGCATTTTGGGGAATGATGAGAATGCAGGACTGTCCTGTTTATATTATTTAAGTTGAATAATTGGCTCACTTAAAACTTACAAAAGGTTTCCCGGAAATGGGAGAAATGAGCTGAAGGGCAGACAGACCCATGTGGTCCTCATCATTTTCTTCTGTGTATTAGTGTGGCTGTCTCCTGCAAAAGATCTGGCACACTGGCCTGGGGATTCCTGGCTGCTGTGCACTCTATGGTGCTCCTACCTCTCCACACCCCTCCACCTCCCTCCTCAGATGGAGTCCACTGAATTAGCAGTGCCGCCTGGATCCCCTTCCTGAACAGGGTCAGGAAGAGGGCACTAGGGCTGCAGGGCTCAGGGGAGCGGTGGCAAGTGTGCCTTCTGAACCCTGGTCTGCGCCTGCTTTGTACCCTGACCAAAGGGCACATGCCTCTTCTTAGCTCAGGGCAGGCAAATTCAGGCTCTGGCTCACAAACGACAGTGAGGGGCTCCTTCTTTAATTTGTTGGCTCCCTTCAGCCTTGGCGGCCAACTATGTTCCTTCCTGTTACTCTGCACACTTCCTTCTCCCCACTTCATTCATTTCTCCGTTTTCATCCCCTTTGGAGGAGAAATACAATTCTCATTCCTCCTGTGTGACTCCTAGCACAGTGATGACTTCTTGCTTTCAGCTTCCTGGCTCTGCTGATGTGACCTTTGGAATTTCAGGGCTCCCTGCCAGAAACCCTGGTTCTTCCCAGCATCTGTTTAAACACCGTACTTCCGGTGGCAATGCCCTTTGCCTTTCTAATCTTTTTGTCATTTGGCTCCAAGTTCCAAAGGGGATTTTACTGCCTGCCAGGTCAGTAACAGTGCTCTGTGGCTGGAAGGAAAGCCTTACTAATACATTGTTTTGGTGCACGGAGTTGCCAGTTTTGAAGATTGGGGAAAATTTCAGGGCTTCTCTTTACACATTGAAAGGGGCACAGCCTGTAGCCTGGCCTTTGATGCCCGCCTCCATGTGTGCCGGCTGCCTTCGGGCCTGTCCTCCAACTGCTGCTCCTTTCCGAAGTTTTTGCCTGTACTTTATCCAGCATCCTGGCCTCCCAGACTTTGCTTAAGCTCTACTGCCTGGATCACCTTCCCCCACCCCACTTTCTCTTTCTGTGTGGCACAATTCCTACAATATTTTAGTGCCTGTGCCCACTTCGAAAAGCTTCCCTAGATCCTTCCTCACCTCACCTAATCTCCCCCCAGCCCCTGCCCTCCCATTGAGCTTTTATTGTATTTTCTCAATTCTAACGGACACATTTTTCTTGATAACAGCTATATTGAGATATAATTCACGTACCATACAACTCACCCATTTATTTTTATTTTTAAAGCATCTTATTTATTTATTTTTAAAGAGAGGAGAGGCAGAAAGAGAGGAAGCGAAACATCCAAGTGCGAGAGAAACATCTACCAGATGCCTCTTGCACACTCCAACCCAGGCATGTGCCCTGACTAGGAATCAAACTGGCAACTTTTTGTTCCACAGGCCAGCGCTCAATCCACTGAGCCACACCATCCAGTGCCAATTCACACATCTGAAGTGTACAGTTCAGTGGCTTTTAGCATACTCAGAATTTTGCAACCATCCCTGTAATCAATTCTAGAATATTTTCATCACCCCCGACAAAAAATTCCCATACTCTTTAGCCATCACCCAGTCTCTGAACCCGAACCCCCAGCCTTCTCCAGCTCTATGCAAGCACTAATCTATTTTCTGTCTCTAAAGATTTGCCTATTCAGGATATTTCATAGAAATTGAATCATACTATTTGTGGTCTTTTGTGACTGGCTGCTTTCATTTAGCAGAATGTTTCCAAGGTCCATCCATGTTATAGCATGTATCAGAACTTCATTCAAGGGCATATTTTATAAAACCATTTTTAACATATCTGAAATAAGGATATATCTTCAAGTCAATGATGTGTATAGTTTAATTAATGATAATTTTATTTCTTAGTAATAACTTAAAATAATGATGTATCTTCTAATCAGTGGTGTCAAATTCAATGAAATATTATATTTATGTCTCCAGCTTATTTCCTGTTGCAATTTGCTTTGTGGCCAACTCATTTGTTTATGTATCTATCTCATCTCATAGACTGTAAGCTCCAGAATAATAATAGCTATGTTTTCATTGTTTTTCTGTCTTTTAAAGGACCTAGCACAGTACCTGGTTTTTAGGTGGTGCTCAGTAAATACAAAGAAAGAACTATGCTACATTCGAAGACATATTCTCCAATAATAACATGGCAGAGTAATAGAAAGGTGCAAAATCTTCATGTGCACTTGGTGAGTATGCAGTGTGCTTCTGATTGTTTGTGGTAACTGATATAGTTCATTAACTAAACATTTGAGTACCTACTGTGTGCCAGGTTTGTGTTCTAGGCAGAGGGTGTTATGAAAATGGTAAAAATATTGTCTCTTTCCAAAGGAACTCATATTTTGGAAAGACATTTATATAAATGGTTACAAGACAAGGAAAATGGATTAGAGAATGTGGCATTTGTACTTAACACATATGCATTAAGAACACGGGCTTTACAGTCTGACGGTCCTGGGTTCTGCTACTCTTCTGTGAACTTGAGCATGCTCTCAATGAATTCTCCATGTCCGTGTTTTCTCATCTGTGAAATGGACACGATAAGAATATGCATCTTTTTCAGGTGTTATTACAATCACATGAGACTATGAGCCTAAAATATCTGGCACATTATTAAGTGCTCAAATAAACAATAGTTACTCTTGAGAATTTGAGATCATTAACCCTTTGGGGGTTTTAGAAATTATTTCATTAGCCCTCCTCCCCACAGACCTAACTTTATGCTTCAGGCTCTGAAGCACCAAGTAGCTTACCCTATGGTTGGAGGAGACAGCAGTGGGCTTTCCCAGAGGGGAGATGTTTAGGGAATGAGAGATTGTTAAAATGGTCGAGAACTTTCAGCAGGTAGAATGGGCATGTTGGAGGTGAGTTTGAGGAGGCCTGTTCCTCTCGCCCAACCCAGTTACCCCTTTCCCCTGTCCCCTGGGCAACAACTTAAAAAAAACACTTAATAGAGCCTTCTTATTCACGTAGGTAAAGTATGTGCTGTATCTGAGCAGATTTTAGCAGGAAAGTCCCAGCCCAGTCTGGGTCATAAGCTCTAGTTCCTTCCTGGGTATTAGTTTTCTCTTTTCAATAAACATGTGCATTTTGTGCACTGTCAGGGGCTGAGGTTTCTGCATTTTTATTCCTCAAGTATCTAAAATGATGGGCAAAGGTGTTCTACTTCAGTGCTTTTTAAAAAACTTCTCAGTTCAAAATACTAACTAATGTGTCAAATGAATGAATGAAACAAATAAAGGAAAAAACAAATGGTTACAGATTTGGTTATAAGAGTTGGCTTCTCAAATAAATTATATTTATTTTCCAAGGAAAAATAGGATATAGGTCAAAGCTAAAAGAATTGTACTCATTTAGCAGAGAGGGGGAAAAGGTACAGAAAACAAGTAGCATAGATGGTAGGTAGAAAATAGACAGGGGAAGGGTAAGAATAGTATGGGAAATGTGGAAGCCAAGAACTTATAGGTATGACACATGGACATGAACTAAAGGGAGGGAATGTGAGTGGGAGAAGGTGTGCAGGGCAGATGGGACTAAAGGGGGGAAAATGGGACAACTGTAATAGCATAATCGATAAAATATATTTAAAAAAGAATTGTACTTATTTATTAACATTTTTTCAGTTTTATGAATAACATTTATTCATGTCATTCTTCAGTCATCGGAGTTAGAATGGTTGGCTTCATATAGTCAGCATCTTTTCCGAGAGTCACTGCACCAGGAAAACAGTGTTTTATTTTTCTGCTAAGTAAACAGACTGATAGAGTCACCGGTCCCGTGGCTATCAACCTTTGTCCAAAAGAAGAGGCTGAAAGATAACTGAGGTTAAGGAACATTTTTTGAAACTAGTCTATCTTCTCGTCTCCTTCTGGAAGGTAGAGCAAAATCCCTCCAACTGGATCGGAGCATGGGACAATGCAATCATGCAAATACCAGAAGTGGGTTCTATTCAATAGATGGCACGTGGAGACTCAGTTAACAGACAATATGACAGAAAATCCAAAGAGTGGCTTCAGCAAGGTAAAGCTTCTCTCTCCCACATAAAAGCGCTCCAGGTGAAGGTGCTCCAGGCAAGACTAGGTCCCCAGTGCAGGCTTTTCTCAGCTTACTGTACCACTGTTCCTAGGGTGTGGTCCCCCATGTCCAAGAGTTCCAGCTTTGTATCTGAGGGGACGTAAAAGGAGGCAAAAAGGTCAACTGCTTCCTTTTGAGGTTTCTGATATTGACAAACAACTCTTTAACTAAAAACCCCATTGAGCAGAATACAATCATGGCAACACCCGGCTGCAAAGGAGTCTGGGAAATGTAGACTTTATTCTAGGCGATCAGGTGCCCAGATACATTCAGTTCAGTGACGAAAGGAAGGGCATAGAGGGGAGCAAGTGGCCATCTCTGCGACAGGGTGTATGGTCCCAATTCCTGCCCCTGTGTGTTACAGGAGGTGTGTATGGGGGCTGTCAGGGCCCCCCTAGAAAGCTCTGCTGGGTCACAGGCCCATGTAAAGTGCTGTCCTGGGAGTCAGCAGCTCCCTTCCCCCATAAGAATGGTTCACGGGGCTTTTCCTCTCCTCCTGAAAGCAGCCACACTCGCCCAGCACGGCTCTGCACGCAACTGGGATGTTTTCTCCCTGTATTTCACTCCTTGACCCATTTTCCTCGGAGATTAGATTTGAAACTAGTCTTGGGTACTTGGTAAACATGTATCTTGGGCAAGTTATTGAACATCTCTGCACCTCATTTTTTATACCGCTGAAATGTGAATACTCTATACTAATAATAACACCTAATAATAACAATCAGGCCTGGCACTAAGTAGGTGCTAAATAACACTGACTTTCCCCACCAAATGGGCCACGTGAAAGTGGGCTGCTTGGCACAATTGGTGCTTTCTGGAGATTCCAGACTTAACCCACACTCTAAGTCTGGTCTTTATTCAATTCTGATTTTGTTAATAATGCTAGCATTTGTTGAGTGCACACTACGTGCCAGGCACTATTTTAAGTGTTTTGTGTGTTAACTCACTTAAACATCACAACAGCCCTATGAGCTAATCATTATTATTCCCATTTTACAGAGAAAAGTTCAATAATGTGCTGAAGGTCTCTCTCAAAACTGGGCAGTGGCAGAGCCGGGCTGTGGATCTGGAGGGCCCGGCTCCAGAGCCTGTGAGACCAACCACGGCGACAGAGCCCCCTGGATGTCCTCCGCCTGCCTTCTCATCCCGTGAAGATCTTAATCAAAGCTTTGTAAATTTAGTCGGGATCAGAACATTTTGAAGGCTCCAAACCCCTACTGGCCTCCCCATCCTTACCTTCTTAACTTTCAGCCTCTTACAAAATCCTTTTTACTAGGGTTAATGATCAATCATTCAAATATTTGTGTCAAGACTCAGTCTTTGTCTCCTAAGAGTTCATAGTCTGGTTAGTGAGATAAGAAGTTATAAGACAATTACACTGCATGATTCAGCAATTGCACTTCTGTGCGTATACCTCAAAGAATTGAAAAGATATTTGCATACCCATGTTTGCAGCAGTGTTATTCGCAGTGGAAAAAAAATGTCAGCGACAAAAAGGTCCATCAGTGGATGAATGGATAAACAAAATGTGGTCTATATATACAATAGAATATTACTCAGCCTTTCAAAAGAATGAAATTCCGATGCCTACTACAATTTGAATGAACCTTGAAGACATAATGCTACATGAAATATGCCAGACACAAAAGGATAATACTCGATGGTTCTACCTGTGAAGTACCTAGAGCAGCTAAATCCGTAAGAGACGAAGAGTAGAATGGTGGCCGCCAGGGGCTGTGGGGGAGGGGAGAATGGGGAACTAGTGTTTAATGCACACAAAGTTTGAGTTTGGGAAGATGAAAAGTTCTTCAGGTGAATGGTTGTGGTGGCTGCACAAGTATGCGAATGTATTCATCACAGAACTGCACACTTAAAAATGGCTGTCATTGCTAGGAGGCTGCGGAGAAGTGGCACATGACCATGACATTGTTGCCCCCTCACCTACTGAGTCGCTGATAGGACCTTTGCCCTTTGCCTGTCTCCTCAGCTCCGTTTCCTCATTCCTCTGTGCTAGTCTGGGGGTGGGGGAGGCGAGGTGGCTGGGGACAGCTGGGCAGAGCAGGCTGCTGCTGCGGGTGCTGTGGGATCCCGCAGGCCTTCATGGCCACCACGCAGGCCTTCATGGCCACCACGAAGCACTCCAGGGGAACGAGAAGAAGTAGAGAGAAGTGTAGGGATTTGAGAAAGGTGAACAGTGCGTAGTGACCTTCAGAAAGAGCAGTGTCAGGAAAAAGGGCACCCGAGGGAGACACCCAGGTTTCTGGTTTGGGTGATGGGGTGAATCAGAGTGCTGCTCCCGAGATGTGGAGGGACGGCGTGTTTGTTGGGCAAACAGGGGGTCCTATTTTCTATTTTTGGACATGTTGAGTTTAAGGTGATTGCAATATAGCCTAAAAGAAATATCGGTTTTAATTTTATACAAAGATGACTCAGAAGTTAAGGTTGATTTTTTTTTAAAGAAAAAAGTAGTGCTCAGAAAACTTCAGTAAGAATGTAGGACCAGATGTGCAGCTTGCTTAATTCTGGCATCTTCCTGCGCAAGTCTGATTACTGATTTATATTTTTTTTCAGCAAGTAACCCACATTCGGTTTGCCTCCTTTGGTTCTTATTAGCAAAATCACTGACTGGGATTCAGACCCAGTTATGTGGTCTTCCTGGTCGAAATCCAAGCCATCATTTTCAGTGCTTGAAAGGGTGGATTAAGACCCTTTAGTTTTGGGGGATTATAAAATGCAACCCCCTAATTTTATGTCATTGGGAATGGTTTCTTTGTTTCTAGGCTTGATTTGCCTTCCAAAGGATTTCCACTGGGGAAATATTTCCATTATTTAGTTTGCGGTGTTCACAGATTCTTTATGTTTATCTCCCATTTTACATCTATTGTCATGATGGCTACAATGTTCAGATAGTATTGGATTGGTCTTATTTTTTCTAGCCTGTCCCCTCCTTCTCATGGCCCTGCAGTGGTTGTGTCCAGTGCTTGAGGATACAACCATATAAATCATCAAGCTCATACCTGAGGCCTTCTTCCACCTGCCAACACTTGGGACATTCTCTTCACACGTTAGTCTAGTTTTGAGATCCAGTGCAGAAAACACTGAAGGAAGACTCAAGACGCTTGGGTTTTGGGCACTGTCAGTTTGTATGACAATAAAACCCCCAAAACAATGTGTTCAGGGTTTTTTTTGGTACTATGTTGCAATATACCAAGTACTTTTACATTTATCATCTTGTTATTACCTCCTGGGCCTGAGTTTCACCTGTGAAATGGAATAAATGCACCTATTCATCTTTCATACTTCACCCACTTATAAAGCTCATGGCCGATAAGAGAGAGGAGAGCCTCTGGGAATGGCCAAATCCGAGATTTAAACATGCAGGGTCCAGCACAAATAATGCCCGCTTTTTATTACAAAATCATAAACATGTAATTCTGAAATGTAACAATATCACACTCAAGCACACCATATGATATTTTAGGTGGAATGTTTGAAACTATGAATTATTTCACCCATATTATTACCCTACCAACCACACTCAAGCACGTGTTACTTCTGCCGAACCCTGAGTATACAGTGTTAAACTTACAGCCTGTGTTTCTCAAGTTCCTCAATAGTTTCTCTTCTGTTTTCTTTCTTCCAAAGCCCTGCTGGCTATTCTTTTTACATGAACACTACTGACCTATTATAATTAATATTATTTATCAAGCACTTACTAGAGTAGATAATAATTGTACAAAGAATTCCACTAGTTACCAGCCTGGAAAGCAGCTACAAATAAGCCTATTTTGTGGGTAAGAAGACAGAGGCTCGGAGAGGTTAGAATTCCCAACCCTGATTCACACAGTGAGTATATGGCAGGGACAGGATTGGATACGGGTTTGATGTGAATCTGGAGCCCAGGGTCACCGCAATTTATTGACTTGCTAGCTATCTACTTTTCAAAATCACCTCTTCTTTCCCTCCTTCTCCTCTCCCTCCTCTTTCCCTTCCCTAAAAGCATCTTTACTTCAGGCCCTGAAAAACATCTATTTTGGTAACCACAAGTAAATAAAAGAGATCTGGTTGGGTGTTCTCCACAGGTGCGGGCAAGTCATGAGTGTGGGATGGGGACCCAGGGGACGGAGCGAGGTGAGGACACTAAGTGGCCGAGGGAAATTTGACTGCGTTTGCTGCACCCCCTCGCCTTTCCCCAGACGAGAGTTCACAGATCCAGGGAGCAGCCCTCAAGCGGAGGAGACATTCCTCTTTGCGTTTCAGCTTTCCAGTCCCTGGATTCCTCCCTTTTCACAGTGATATTTTCCACCCAAAATCTTGTATGGCTTGGGGACAGGCCAGAAGAGGGAGGGACTGGGGGCCCAACTGGAGAGTGGAGTGGGAGAGGAGGAAGATTAAAAAAGGAAAAGCAGCTGGAACTCATCTCCTGGGGACTGGCCGAGGAGGAGGCCCAGCCCTGGGAAATCTGCTCGTCTCCTCTTACGCAGCCCCTCCCGGCTTCCTTTCAGACTGTGTGACTCCGGGACTGAGACCGACGGGGGCAGCTCCCAGCGGCAGGCGCTGCCGCTGTCCCAGCAGACAGGGAGACCCCCACTGGGAGAAAAGATGGACTCTCGAGCTGCAAGGAGCCAGTTGCCGAAATTTCGAGATGTCCTTCCAGGTGTCCACTTGCAACTCAGACTAAAAACGTCTGGGTGTGCATGACTCTTGTCAGCAAGGCAGTGTGGCGGGCAAATACAGCAAATCTGTGGTTTTAGTGACTGAGGGACAGTACGTGTAGGTTCTGAACTTGACAGGAGAATTTCAAACTTCCGTATTTCTGCCAGACTGTGTCCTGCAAGGAGCTCAGCAGGGATAGGAGTGCACATGGTGGGAAAGGAATCCGGAAATGAGTGTAATTGAATGAATGGGGGGGCGGGGGGGGGGGATGAGAGAATCCTCTATGGCAGGCCTTAAAGTCATTCCAGACTTCTTTTAAATTTAGAGAAAATTAGGTTATTTTGGAATCATCTTTAGGCTTTTCATGAGGTGAGGAGAAACTATTTTAGCAAACAGATCATAGTATGTCACTTTTCTGCTGAAACCAGGGGGAGCTGCTATTAGAATGAAAATAAATTCCAAACTTCTTGCTGCAGAGGGAAGACTCCATGACAGGCCCCTGCTTACACATTTCCCACCTCATGTCCCACCCAGTAGGCTCCAGCCGCACCAGCCTTCTTTAGGTGCCAGGGGCTCCAAACTCAGGGTTTTTGCACCTATTCTTTCCTTCACCTGGAAAAATGTTGTTACTGGCCTCTGCGCATGATAGTGCTTTTCAAACCTACAGGCCACGACCCATTAGTGGGTGGTGAAACCAAAGTAGTGGGTCATAACTAACTTTTTAGAAATGAGTTAAATATAATAGAAAATATTATAATGTACCATATAATAAGAATAGGTATTATTTTATGAACATTTTTATTTGTGTGTGTATTCTGGATTATCATATAACACAAAATTCTTACTAATTAGTATCAGTCCATAAACTTTGACAGTCACTGGCTTAGGAGTTGATGATGGATAATTCAGGTTTTTTCTTTTTTTCCTAACAAGGAGCTACTTTTGATTTATGAGAAGTTCTCTGATCTCTTTGTAGTGGCACTAATTTGAATGTTCAATAGAAATGAGTAGAGCCTGGCATTAAATATCATTAATCAGCTTTAAAAAGTTTTCAAATATCATGTTTTAAATTTGATTAGTAACTTACAGTCTCCATGTTGTATGCCTTTGCAGTATTAATAGGAAAATGGCTGCATGTAAAATCCACAGTTGAAAGTTCTATAGCAGATATTGCTATTTAGCCAACCCAACAGCCTTTCCCAAACTCCTAATTCCTTGCCGCATTTTGCTACAGAGGTTGGGAAAGCTAAATTGGTCATCTTCCAGACTCCCTTGCAGCTAACAATGGCCATGTGATACAGGTCTATTTAGTGAGATAGAAATGAAAGTCTGTTTGAAAGTTGCTGGGAAATTTTTTTGCTTTGCTTTTTAAAAAAAGATTTTATTTTTGTTTATTTTTGGAGAGAGAAGAGAGGGTTAGAGGGAGAGGAACAATGATGTGCAAGAGAAACATCAATTGGTTTCCTCTCACATGCCCCAGCTGAGGACATGGCCCACAACCCAGGCATGTACCCTGACCAGGAATCAAACCAGTGGTCTTTTGGTTTGCTGGATGATGTCCAATCCACTGGGCCACACCAGTCAGAGCA